AAGAATTCAGGTGATGACTACTCTAACTGTTGTGTAGCATGAATCACAGAACAATTAGTGGAATTATCTTTGTGGTGGGTAAAATTAGTCCATGGTTTCAAAGATGCTCCGTGTCTCTTTTTAGTCAGTTTGTTTACTCTTAAGAGCATAATCCCTGTTTGCTCTTAAGCGCATAATCCCTGGTGTTACAGTCTTCATACTTATACATGTAAATCCACAGACCAAACATTAGGCAACAAGAGAGCTGGTGGCATAGATGATCTGGAAAGATTATTTGTGGGGGAGTTCTAATTTTATCATTGAATGAATTAACAAGGATGGTTATAATTCACACATGATCTCTATAGTGATAGAAATCTTTACCCATCAGAACTGCCAATCGTACTGCAAAGCAGCCAGCATTTACAGCTAGAATAATCCTCTTCTGTGGTCTGATCTATCCATTCATTCATTCAAATCATTTGTGGACAGGATGTCATCATCTCTGCCAGGATGTGATCTGGGTCCTGGAGAGCAGCAAAGTTTCTGTCTTCATGGGGACAGATATTTTCATTTTGCCTTCAGTGGGAGGAGACAACTAATCAATAAACAAGAGAATTGGATCCTTGGTGAGGACCATAAGATGGTTCCATAGGAATGTCGACGTGATGGACAGTTGTAGAGGAAGGGAAGTTGGTGGGGCAAAGCCTTAGAAAATGCCTCTTGTTGGCTGAGATCTTAATGTGCAGAAGAAGAACTTTCTGGGCAGAGGAAACTGTAATTGTAGAGAAGCGAGTTGGCAAGATCAAGGGGAAAAGGAGTAGGTCAGTGTGCCTTAGACATGGAGAACAAGGTGCGGGTGCCCAGGAATGGAACAGGGAAGCCAACAGAGACCAAATCATATGGGATCTTAAAGTCCATTCTAAGGCTTTGAACTTCAGTATAAGGGCAACAGAAAGTCATTGTCAGAGTTAAAACAGGAATGTCATGACCTGACCCATTTTACAAAGGATGTTCTAATGACAGAGCTGGGCATGGTGGTGCACACCTATAATTCCAACACTTGGGAGGCAGAGGCAGGAGGATCATGAGTTTGAGGCAAGTTTTGGCTACATAGCAAGACTCTGTCTCAAAAAAAGAGAGAAAAAAGAAAAGTCTAGAAAGATGCTATGGGAAGTTAAAGTAAGAAAGCCATAGAACTGAGCACCCATGGCTCATGCCAGTGAACAGCCAGTAATCCTAGTTACTTGCAATCTGAGATCAGGAGGATCAAGGTTCAAGGCCAGCCCTGGTAACTAGTTCGAGAGACCCCATCTCCAAAATAACCAGAGAAAAATGGACGGGAGGTGTGGCTCAAGGGGTAGAGTGCCTGCTTTGCAAGCATGAAGCTCTGAGTTCAAACCCCAGTTCCACCAAAAAAAAAAAAATAACAGGAGACCATTGAGTCACCCTGGTGGACAGTGTGGTAACCTCAGGTGAGCAGGGGTCCTGGAGTAGAAACAAATAGTCACAACTTCACCACTGAGATGAACTGACAGAGTTTGCACGTGATTTGGCTGTTCAGGGGATGGGCAGTTTTAAGTAGCTCATCAGTAGTAAAGGATGCAGTAAGAAATTTAGGTTGGTAAAAGGGAGTTTGCCATCGCAGAGTTTCATCTTCAACCCAAAATCAGCAAAAAGAATACAGAGCTCAGCTCTTTCTTGGCTAACTGCGGTAATTATTTTTGTTAAATAAGTAATCATAAGAATCAACTTGCCACTCATCCAGTTCAAGCAAGACTTACACCTGATACAATCTTACTAACCGAATCATCAATAGAGAGAGAGACAGATACGCGTTTTCTGCCCTGAGCACTCATTTTCTGACTGCCTTCCCTCGCTCGCCTCTGCTGCTGGTGGCAAACAAAATCACTTAAGTCAAGTGAACAGTTTTAAATGTATAATAGGAAAATGTGTTTTTGAGAAACTCTTTGGAACCCTCAGCCATTGTTAGAATACACTCACTTTGACAGATGCTTTGGCACTTTTTATGAGGCTTTTCAACGCATTACCTTATCAGGTGCATGAGATTTTGTCTGTTCTACAGAGGAAAACAGACAAAAAGGGTCTCTCAGCACGAGCTACTCTTCTGTAAAGGTTATAGTAAACATGCCAATGCCTAATTAAGCAGAAAATTTTATCTGTATTGTGGGGGAGGCATGTGCTGTCTCCGACTTTTCTTCTGGGGAATCCATTTAGAAGGACAAAGTAGATTGTGAGGTTGAGCTTGTCCGGAAAACTTAGCTTCCAAATGTCAGCAGAAAAAAAACCCAGAATAATTCTTTTCTCCTTGTTGGAAAATGACTGTATTGGCTAGGCAGATGTGTGTGTGTGTGTGTGTGTGTGTGTGTGCGCACAATAAACCATGCTTGTACACAACAGAAAACAAGAATCAGTCCCCAACTTCCTACTAAGTGCTAGGCATGGTTCTGGGCACTGAAAATACTGAGATGAATAAAAACTAGCAATAACTTCAACCAACCACCATGACAGCCCTTTTCCCTCCCCCAGATTTCTTCACTTGTTCTCTGTGTGAATGTGTGTGCATGATAAACGCACACTTTTCTTCGTTGCTGTATTCACTCGACCCATAAGCAAGGTAATATGTGCCTTTGCCTGGAACAGTTCTGCCTAATGCCTGTTGTCCCAGGGTAATATCACCTTTTGTAAAAGTGACCCTATTTATTGATAAAGTTTGCCTAATTTCCTTCTCAAAAGTGACCCTATTTGACTGACTGTGGTGATACATACACAACAGGTGAGACACGATGATCAAGAGTTTAAGTCCAGCCTAGCTACATAGTGAGACCCTGTATCAAAAACAAAATTTTAAAAAGTGACCTTTCTTGGTAAATGAAATTCATCTGGTTTATTGAAGTATCTTATGTGACTCCGTAACAAGTCATTTATTAGTTTTAAAACATAGGCTTTCTACTTGAACTTAATGGTCTAACTATTTTTGCAAACATATACATTAGTCCAGGTAAAAGAAAAATGTGACAAGAAGGATAAAGATAGTTTAATTGAGTCATTCGGCTATTTTAAACTACACTTTTCTTGCAAGTAGTGGGCACTTATTAATGGTTGCTTGACAAGATCAAGTGGTTTTTTGTTTCTTCAAATCAATTCGTGGAACTAGAGACCAGCAACACCAATTTAATGACAAATCCACTTGTCAACTTTGCTGGAAAAGCAAAAATACCATACCAATAACAATAAAATAACCCACACAACCATAAACTTGTGGCCACACTGGAGTTTTACATTTTATCTTGTTTTATGGTCTCAGAGCCTGAAATCATGGGTTCCTGTCTGCAGCATTCCCATGACCCTCTCTCCCCAAGTGATTATCTATTGAGGGCCATTGCAATCAAATTCTGCTGCTTAACCTTTAACCTTTGGGTCTTGACAAAGTTTTTGTACTTGTTAGTTTGGTAACTGAGAGTGGAGACTCATGGACTAGACCATGGTTCTCTCATCAAACAGACTTGGGTTCATATCATGATCCTACAATCCTAGCCGGGCACACTCGTGTTAATTTCTTGCCATTAAAGCCTCAGTTTCTCCGTTTAGGAAATGAAAAAAATAACAATAATAATGATGGTGATGATGATTATAATAATGAGTGATAATCCCATATCTTGTAGACATTAGAAGAAATGAAAGCTTATATTTGTGCTGGTGAGCTTGGTTTCCAGGAGACAGTAATTGCTCAGTTGATAATTCTTTATCTTCCTCATCACTATCAGCCTTCGGTGTTCTGACTATAGCTGCCTTATCCCTAAAAAACCCTTTTCATTTTCAACTGTCCCCACCTGCCTGGCAGGACAGACTTCCAATGCAGAAGCAGCCTCTCCCTAGTGTTAGCCTCAGAGGATGGTAATAACAGCACCTGCTCTAAGGTTTTATTCCAAGTAGCCACCTGCTGCCAAGAGGGAAAGAGAAGTGCATAAGGAAAATATTGCGTTAAGATTATGCAAGCCCTGCAAATCTAAGGCTGAGTCTCCTTTTCCTGGTACATTTTGGTTGAATATTTTATCCACATGGCTCTAAGAGGCCAAGTGAAGAGAATGAACCCGTGGCACACATAGCTACACTCCCCATTTCCATTGATGGATATTTGCCTGTTAAATCCCTTTGCACCTGCTCCACCGTCTTCTTTTTCCCTATGCAGTTGTGGGTCCTAAATCCTTTCAGAGAAGAGAAAGCATGCATCCCCAGTAGCATTTCACATCTACAAATCAAACATGTAATTGACATCTCACGACAGGGACCCACAAATCACAGTGCATTTGAAATTACAGGAGCAAGATCGAGAGGGCACTTTCAGCCTTGTCTGGAAAGGTCTTCAGAACTCTGTTTGAGAATAATAAAATAGCCCCCAAATCTCCCATTCTAACACCACTTGCCATTATTTTAAAACCATTATGTTTGCTGTGCTCACATACTATTTCAGCTATCAATGGAAATTTTCATTTGCGTACTCCATAACCTCTTTTTGCTCTGTGACTATCTACAAATAAAAATGTTGCAACAAAAAGACCACTCGCTAACAAAAATGTAATGACTGTGTGTCCACATTACTTCTGAGCACTCAAAAGATGATATATTGGGATGAGTATATGCCAATATATCCAAGTGTTTTGGAGCCAACTTCCTCCCCTCTTATATGACTTTAACAGGATTTGCATTTCAATTCAGAGTTCCTGAAAGTCATATGCCTGAATTTCACCGCTGTCTCACTATAGGAATATTAGAATGATATTTCTTAAACACAAATTATTAATTTGGGATTCTAGACATTTATAGAGAAAGATGAATCTTGCAAATTTAAGAAAAAAAGGCAGCAGCAGATGGCACAAAAGACATCTTTTGGCTTTCTCCCTGTTTCCACTGTTTGCAGTTCGTAAACGTGTAGATTAAGTTACTATTCGGTTCATCTTGGGAAGCACTTAGACCGAGTGGGAGAATCAAAATGGAATATGCAGCCTGTTACAGTTAGCTCATCACTCCTGTCCTCTTCTCTTGCAGGCTACGTCCAGGAGGAACAGCTGAAGGAAGAGGAGGACCTAAAAGAGGAAGAAGAGGAGGAGGAGGACAGTGGTTCAGTGGCTCAACTTCAGGGCAGCAATGACACAGGGACAGATGAGGAGCTAGAAACTGTCCCAGAGCAGAAAGGCTACTTCAGCTGCCAAAACTCTCCGGGAAGTCACTTGTCCAATCAGGACGCTGAGAACGATTCTCTGCTGAGTGATGCCAGCGACCAGGTGTCAGACATCAAGAGTGTCTGTGGCCGAGATGCCTCAGACAAGAAAGCAAACGCTCACCCCAAGCCTCCAAATGAAACACATAATTGCATGGATAAAATGACCGCCGTCTATGCCAACATCTTGTCTGATTCCTACTGGTCAGGCCTGGGCCTCGGTTTCAAGCTATCCAACAGCGAGAGGCGGAATTGTGACACGCGGAATGGCAACAACAAGAGTGATTTTGATTGGCACCAGGATGCCCTGTCCAAAAGCCTGCAGCAGAACCTGCCTTCCCGATCCGTCTCCAAACCCAGCCTGTTCAGCTCAGTGCAGCTGTACCGGCAGAGTAGTAAGATGTGTGGGACCGTGTTCACAGGGGCCAGCAGGTTCCGCTGCCGACAGTGCAGTGCTGCCTACGACACCCTGGTGGAGCTGACCGTGCACATGAACGAAACAGGCCACTATCAAGATGACAACCGCAAAAAGGACAAACTCAGACCCACGAGCTACTCAAAGCCCCGGAAAAGGGCCTTCCAGGACATGGACAAGGAAGATGCCCAAAAGGTTCTGAAATGTATGTTTTGCGGGGACTCCTTCGATTCCCTCCAAGACCTGAGCGTCCACATGATAAAAACAAAACACTACCAAAAAGTGCCTTTGAAGGAGCCAGTACCAACCATTTCATCAAAAATGGTCACTCCGGCCAAGAAGCGTGTTTTTGATGTCAATCGGCCTTGTTCCCCAGATTCAACCACAGGATCATTTGCAGATTCATTTTCTTCCCAGAAGAATGCCAACCTGCAGTTGACTTCCAACAACCGCTATGGCTACCAAAATGGAGCCAGCTACACCTGGCAATTCGAGGCCTGCAAGTCCCAGATCTTAAAGTGCATGGAGTGTGGGAGTTCCCATGACACCCTGCAACAGCTCACCACCCACATGATGGTCACAGGTCACTTTCTCAAGGTCACCAGCTCAGCCTCCAAGAAAGGGAAGCAGCTGGTGTTAGACCCACTGGCAGTGGAGAAAATGCAGTCATTGTCAGAGACCCCAAACAGTGACTCTCTGGCCCCCAAGCCATCCAGTAACTTGGCAGCTGACTGTGCCACCTCTCCAACCGACTTAAAGAAAGAAAGCAAAAAAGAGAAGCCAGAGGAAACCAACAAGGATGTGAAAAGCGAGGAGTATGAAGACCCTCTACAAAAACCTTTAGACCCTACCATAAAATACCAGTATCTAAGGGAAGAGGATTTGGAAGATGGCTCAAAGGGTGGAGGGGACATTTTGAAGTCACTGGAAAATACTGTAACCACAGCCATCAACAAAGCCCAAAATGGCGCACCCAGCTGGAGCGCGTACCCGAGCATCCATGCAGCCTACCAACTGTCAGAGGGTGCCAAGCCCCCCTTGCCCATGGGATCCCAGGTGCTGCAGATCCGACCCAACCTGGCCAACAAGTTAAGGCCGATTGCACCAAAGTGGAAAGTCATGCCACTGGTCTCTGTGCCCAGCACCCTGGCCCCGTACACTCAAGTTAAGAAGGAGTTGGAGGACAAAGATGAAGTTGGGAAGGAGTGTGGAAAGGACAGTCCCCATGAGGAGGCATCATCTTTCAGTCACATGGAGGGAGATTCTTTCTCCAAAAGCGAACCACTTTCAGAATCCAGAAAGGCAGAGCCATGTAACCTGAAGGAGGAGGATAAGCTGATAAAAGACAGCAGCGACAAAGAGAAGCCCCAGGCCTTAGAGCCAATGTCCCCTCTGAGCAATGGATGTGCCCTCACCAACCCTGCCCCAGCCCCGCCGTGCATCAACCCGCTCAGCGCCCTGCAGTCCGTGTTGAATAACCACCTGGGCAAAGCCACCGAGCCCTTGCGCTCTCCTTCCTGCTCCAGTCCGAGCTCAAGCACAATCTCTATGTTCCACAAATCAAATCTCAGTGTCATGGACAAGCCAGTCTTGAGTCCTGCCTCCAGCAGGCCAGCCAGCATGTCTAGGCGCTACCTGTTTGAAAGCAATGACCAACCCATCGATCTGACCAAGTCCAAAAGTAAGAAAGCTGAGTCCTCGCAAGCACAATCCTGTACGTCCCCGCCTCAGAAGCATGCTCTGTGTGACATCGCTGACATGGTCAAGGTGCTCCCCAAAGCCACCACTCCGAAGCCTGCTGCTTCCTCGAGGGTCCCTCCTGTGAAGCTGGAAATGGATGTCAGGCGTTTCGAGGATGTCTCCAGTGAAGTCTCCACTTTGCATAAAAGAAAAGGCCGGCAGTCCAACTGGAACCCTCAGCACCTTCTGATTTTGCAAGCTCAGTTTGCCTCGAGCCTCTTCCAGACATCAGAAGGCAAATACCTGCTGTCCGACCTGGGCCCGCAAGAGCGGATGCAAATCTCAAAGTTTACAGGACTCTCCATGACCACCATCAGCCACTGGCTGGCCAACGTCAAATACCAGCTTAGGAAAACGGGCGGGACCAAATTTCTAAAAAACATGGACAAAGGACACCCCATCTTTTATTGCAGTGACTGTGCCTCTCAGTTCAGAACCCCTTCCACCTACATCAGTCACTTAGAGTCTCACCTGGGTTTCCAAATGAAGGACATGACCCGAATGGCAGCGGACCAGCAAAGCAAGGTGGAGCAAGAGATCTCCCGGGTGTCATCGGCTCAGAGGTCTCCGGAAACAATAGCTGGTGAAGAGGACACAGACTCTAAATTCAAGTGTAAGTTGTGCTGTCGGACATTTGTGAGCAAACATGCAGTAAAACTCCACCTAAGCAAAACGCACAGCAAGTCACCCGAACACCATTCACAGTTTGTAACAGACGTGGATGAAGAATAGCTCTGCAGGTATGGGTTTGCTCCCAGGCGATGGTGACAGTGGCCTTGTGAGGAGCTTGTTAAAGGGAGCTGAGTCTGCTTAGAGGCAGCTGATGTCTCCCAAGGCCAAGCAGGACAGTAGCTTGCTGCAGTAGACTTATTTTTATGAAAGACAGAACATGCTAAGCCAGTCCTAACCAGTCTCCCACTCCCAGTTTACAGTGGGGGGCTAGAGTTACATGTACTTAGAGAGGTGAAGTTCACAGTGACTGTTGCTTCCAGGTCTTCATGATTCCTGAGCCCCTTAGAGACCCAAGGCCCAACCTGCAGGGTCCAGCCCAGGCTCCCCCTCATTTAAATTACGAATGCTAACTTCTCTCCCCATTCCATCCACCGTGTCATACTAATGACTTGTGAAATGGAAAGGTGAGCATCAGAATGATGATCGGGGAGTCGCTAGGGGCGGTCACTACAGAGATTTCGTAATCAGCTCACGAATAGCTTCAAGTTGTCTTTATTATTGTCACTTGTAATTAATGCTTTTGCAGCTTACTTTCAGCAACTGCTACCTTCCACCTCCTTGCCTGTGTTTATTTCCTACATTAATTTTCCTATGGAAGACCAGGTGCCCTTAAGGGGATGGTAGGAAAATATTCTTTCTGCAGAACATTGAGGTGAAAACAGCAGAAGCTTGTTTTCTTCTCTTGTCTTTTGGGTTTTTTGTTTGTTCATTTTGTTTGTTTGTTTTTAGGAGACTCTGATATCAGGGTCCACCTTTCACAAAGATAAACGCAATGCATGCCCCTGAGATTTTATTTTATATATAGAAATAAAAGGCTTTCGGCACACCTACGGTCAATGTGCATGGGGGTCCCACCGCTTCAAGATAATGTGTGTCATATAGCATAAAGGTTCAGATCTGTATAGTCACCAATGCCCAGACTTCCTATGTCACTCCAGGAGAGATGACAGAGACCAAGGTCAATTGCCTGGGCAGATGAGTAACCCCAGCCATTTTTAAATGAATGTAAGCAAGGCTGGGTCTTAACAAATCTCTCCCACCTCCCTTTTTGCATTTTCCCTGCCTCCTTTTGTCTCCCTTCCAGCACGACACCCCCATGTCAAGAGCCCTAACACATGTCCAGGTTATCCTCCTCCTGGGGCCAAACATGAGAACCCAAATGGGAACCCAACATGAACCAAAGCTTCTGCACTTACCAGTCCAGTTTATGCCAGGAGAGGCTACAGATTGCTCTTACTTAATTAATTCACAATAGGGATGGAAAACTACTAGTAGTTGAACACGTAAGCCCCTCCCACCCCCTATTGTCAGGGCATTTACTTTCAAACAGGAGAGTTTCGAATCAAGTCACACAGGTTTGGACACTAGGTGAGTTCCAGGTAGAGCAAGATATTTGTATGGCATTTGTATGACCTCATGTAGCTAGAGTGATTTTCAGAGTGTGAGAATAGCCAAAGTGAAATAAAAAGTTAAAATCTATGACTCCCTCAGTGTGAAGATCTAAGCTTCTGATTTGGGTGGGCCCAAACGAAGACCTTCTTTCTTGTTTGCATGTTTTTATCATGAGAATTAAATGTCACTGGCAGATTCATCTTCTGGTTTCCAGCATGATTTGTTTCCTCTATTGAATGAAAAGCCGATATACACCTGTTGAATTCACACATGAGCTTGGGGTTCTGCAGCACCCTATTTATTTGGTATATAACATTTAAATTTTATGTAACTTGCTATTATGCTTTTCTGGTCCTTTAAAAAAAAAAGGTGGACATACACAAAATACCTAGAGAGAAGAAAGATGTTTTAAATCCAATAGCAGTGGGTCCAAACCATGGTGAAGAGGACGAATAGGTGATGTTTATTTTGTGCTATAATAAAGACCATTTTCCACCTGTTAGGTTTGTAATCATTTTTTAACTGCGATATGTAAATAGGGAGAAGGGAGAAAAGGGAGGCTTGCATCTGAAATGTACTATATCTCTTCTAGGGAAGTGAAGGTAAACCAATAATTTAGAAAAACATACACAAAAGGTACTTAAAAATCGGTTAAATGCATAGATAAGGTAGCTATTTTCACATTGCTCTGCATTTGTACAGAATAAATATTTCTAATTTGGTCCTTCCAAGCACCGTATTAGTGTTACCATTACAGAAATCCAAAGCTCCATCCTTACATAATCACCACTGTGCTGTGATTCTCACAGGGTGGCAGAAAACCAGGTTTGGATATTTGGGACTTCTTCAAAGCAGTGGAAATGTGTGTGCGTCATATATCTAGAAAGGGTGGGGTGGGCATAGGTGTGTTTATATTAATAAGAAAAATATCCCAATCTGCCTGAACATTCTCTTGTCTATACAAAAGTGGCATCTCGAAGTTTTGTTCACAGAGGAAAGTGTGCTTCCACCCTTGGGGTCCTCGATTAGAACGATATGTATGCAACGCCGTGCTCACTGCTTAGAATTATACATCTTATATTGTTAAATGGTCACAAAACGATACCACTGTTATCTGGAACTCTAATCTTAGTTGATATGCATGATGGTACAAATTGTGCAAAATGACATGATGTTTTAGAAAGCATGTCAAGACACAATGGAAAATTGGGGAGCTTTGCCATATCTGTGTTTTCCAAAAGACATAAATTTTGAGCTGAATTTTCTTTCCTTTCTTGGACATATCCTAAATACTGCAGAATGCTCTGCCAAATATTAAATTCAATTTTTCATTAAAAATATATTAGAAAATATTAAATGACCATCCCTATTAGGGACATAAGTAATCTAAGACAATTTCAATATGTATTTGTGTGTATCTTTAAAAGCCACATGCTCTTGAATAATAGAAATTAAACAGAGAGTAAATCACTGAGTCTAAAATGCACAAGGACTTGAAATTATAGTCATTACCGTGTAATACAGTGTACAAGTTTAACAGCACACCTAACCTTGAAATTGCTAGCAGAAATGTATTCTGGTCCAAAGAGCTGCCTGTCACCTTTGTTATGGGCAACTTGATGAAGTGCATAAAAGGTGAAATGCAAAAGGCAGGATGGACCTCCAGTTCAGTTTGCTTGAAAGATAAAGCACAAATATATATTTTAGGTATAAGTATATCCCAAATATTGCATGGTCTGTATTTATATTTTAAAAATTCATCATTTATCTAAGATTCAATTTTAACTTCATCCCGTTAACTGGCAACCTTAACACCATAGATTATATGGAAGTGTAGGAAAAGCCAAACAGGCTAGAGTAATTAGTGTTTGTAAGAGACATCCACTCTTCTTTCTTTCCTTACCTCCTTCCTTCCTTCTTTCTTCCCTCCCTCCCTCCCTCCACTGCTTTCATCCTTCAACAAACACCAGTTGTGTCTTAGTATTTATTTACTGGTTCTATTTACTGGTAGAAACACAATAGTTAACCAAAAGTCATGCCAATTATGACTGCAAACTGCGCCAGGTCTTGCAGGGAGTACTTTGCAAACATTATTTCACTTTGTTCTCACAAAAGTCCTATAAAGTAGAGGTCAATTCAAACCACATTACAGAGAAGAAATAGAGGCAGAAACATGGTACAGGAATTTCCCAAGGTACCACAATCTCTGGACCTCACTCATTCATTAGCACCTATCTAGATGGCCATTGCCCCAAGGACATAAGCTCATGACTAGGACAAGAGTGTGCCTTTGAGGGCAGTGGGAGACACCTTAGATGGACAACTCAAGGGTCAGTGCTAAACGGAGCACACAGGAAGGACCTCCACCCAGTCATGGGGAAGCAGAGATAGGAGGGATGATGTCAACAGGAGTGATCACACAGACCATCCCATCTGGCTTCAAGGTCCCACTCACCTACCCTAAGTCATACCCCACTTCCATGTCTATAAAATGGAAATGTAATATCCCTCTCATAAGAAGGATTTGAGAATTAGATAAATGCATGTAATTGTTTTCTATAAAGGTTGGTACATTATAGGTTCACAAAAAATTAATCTCTAGACAGTTGGGACAGGTCCCTGACTGTATCCTGCAGCCTCACTGAAACGTACAGAATTTATAGTCTTTTGAGGTGAAACTAATTAATACCGAGGTAGGTGTCCCCTTGAAATCCTCATTTGATTATGATAACAGCAAACTACCACTTCTTGGTTTCTTCCCATAAGCCAGACATGGTGCAGCACATCTTCCTCTCCAAGGGGCCCACAATTCACCCAAACACACACAAAGCAGGAGGTAGGGTTCACACCTGGGACTGCCCAATACTCCTTTCCCCTACTCCTTGGCTTCCTCCTCCTTGTGTGAGGTTTCTAGCACTACCAGGGCCAGCTGTGCCTCGATGGCTCAGAGAAAAGGCTATAAAATATACACAAGAGTTGGGAGAAGAGCGAGGGCTCCCCAGGGCCTCTTGGAGACTCCAGCTGTAAATCATAGTCATGCATCACTTAATGACAAAGACATTCTGAGAAATGCATTCCTATGTGATCTTGTCATTGTGTGAACATCATAGTGTATAAACTAAGACAGCCATGACGTCACTGTCATAGGACCATCGAAATAGATGGAATCCAACAGTGACTGAACAGTTGTATTTTGTATTTTGTATTTTGACTCCAGGGTCTGGGCAAAGCATGGCCTCCCTGTTCCGTTTAATTCCCATCTTCAGTCAGGTGATATCATACTGTCATAGTCCAACAAAGACACAACCCAAATCCCACTGGAAATGCACACATCATCCTGACTCCCAGGAAGTCATTTTGGGAAAACAAAATGAGAGTCAGGGCAAAAGTGAGGTAGGAGGCTCTGTGCTTCTCCAGCAGCAAGGACAAAATGCAGCGTCTTTCTCAACATTTGCATTTTTTCTGAGCAACACGGCTTAGCTCCCGGGGCATGGTGACATGTCTCAGTCCCCTCATTTGGACTTTTGAATGCACAATCCTGACGTGTATAATTCGGTGCTTTAATATAAAGTAACATTATTTTTCATTTACTCTAATCTGCCGTCAGTGTCATCTTTTCATTTAACCAGATGCAATTCTTTTTTTTTTCTTTCGCTAAATTGAAACTCCATGAGCGACGGGGAGTGCAATGTTTTAATTAGCTCATATTTTTTATATGGATTTATGTCTTTAAAATACATTTGTGTAATTCTTCAGCTAAATTAAAAACGTCTTTCTGTGAAAGCGAGGAAGGGAAAATCAAGAGCTAAATTGTGTCATTAGCTTAGGTGGATGCAGATGGAGGGTGGGATCACGGGAGCTCTCCTGGGCTGATTTTGAACTTGCCCTTCCTTTAAAGACGTCTTTCTCCATAACAGCTTCTCGAAAAAGGGCTTGGAGAGGAATTTTTAAGCCCCTAGTAAGTAAACAAGCAGTTACCTTCAGTGAGCTAATTTGAAACGGAACCTTCTGCCAAACAAAACAGAAAAATAGGAATCACAGTGATAAACAGTTTTCCCCACATTTCTCTCATTGTCTTTTTTTTTAAAAAAAAACTATCAAGTTTAAAGCCTTCCACGATGCTTTTTTTTTTTCTTTCTACTTTATAGGAGACAAGTGACATCCGTGGTAAATGGGAGAAAAAGCCATGCAGAACTGAAATCTCTCTAACGCCTTGACACTCACTTGCCCTCTATTGTTGGAAGTGAGCAGGCGCTCATGATTGTTCGTCAAAGGCTCCTAATGCAGTTAAAGCATTCAGCTATAATTTCTCCTTGCATTTATAATTACTGTCATAGACTGCACACCTCGGTGAGCAGATTAAAGCTATAAACTATTTAGCTGTGGCTCTACGACGAGGAACTTGATTTGTCTGGCAGGAGTTATTTGTTAGGGAGCTTGACACTTCACATAAAAATGACTCAACTTGATGAAGAACAACGCAGTTTTAGCAATGCAGGGATTTTAAATCAGTCAGGACGCCACGCCCGGCAAGAATTGCAGGGCAGTTTGTTAAGCGCTACGTAGGCCATGGCGGTAGGGATGTGCTAAAGGTACCAAAATAGAGGAGGATTGGTGTGCAGCTGCTGCTCGCCTGCTTCTCCTCTGGAACACCAGGAGTTTGGTGGAAATCAGTGCATGTCGTGTTCCTCGGTTAAATCCAGTGTAAATATTAGGGAGGTTTCCCAGGCAGGGAAAGGGACGCCAACAGCCCCAGGCACATGTCTCATCTGGGGGTTTTGGAGAACTTTGTGTGGCTGAACAGAACATTCACACTTGGGAGGCCAGGGATATGTTGTTTGGGAGATTTTTTTCCTTGCAATATTCATGTATTTATTTATTTATTTATTTATTACTTATTTGCAGGGGGATGTGTTATATTTTAGACATGGAGGGTGTTTCTGTTGGGTCAATTCCCTAATTTTTCCCTGTGAAAGTAAACAAAGGTAGATATTTCCCAACTCAGACATCTTCAGATTGTTGGCATCCAGTGACCAGCATCTTTCTCTCTCAATTTGCTTTTTTTTACAGTGCTGGGTCTAGAACCCAGGGCCTTGCACATGCTAGCCACGCACTCTTCCACTAAGCTACATCCCCAGCCCTTGGTTTTTTGAGAGTAGGTCTCACTGTGTAGCTCAGGCTGACCTGGAACTCACAATCTTCCAGGCCAGAGAGAGGATTACAGAAGAGCACCACCAAAGCCAGGCCGTTAGACTTTTGATGGACTTTGATTTGCTGTGGAGTCACCCCATGTCTTCCAAACATAAATAAACATGAATTTGTTTTGAATCAAATTCATTCAGGATCAGTAGTCTATAGAATATTTATTGACAGTAAGTGGCAGGTGCTGGTGCTTAAATATTAAGGGTAACACGTGCCCCAAGGGCCAGAAGGTAATGTAAGAGACCCAGCAGGCTGGGCAGAGTAC